GGAAAGCCCAGTCAGGATAACCACACTGCTCCAGGGCCTGTCGTGTGTGTGATTTCTCTTTCTGCCTGGCTCCTGGGTTTGTAGGGACACTGTCTCCTCTGTGGTACAGAGTCCTGATCACTCCTAACTTGTGTTCCAGTGGGTGGTGGGAGTCAAAACGCAAATATTGGTCTGTGTGGTGGGCTTACGATATACGCTAGTTCCCAACTGTCCTCCATCCGAAACCGAGACATCGCAATCCAGGAACGCCAACCTGCCATTTTTTACATCCTCTCGTGTGAACTTAATATATTCATCCACAGAGTTGATGTGATCACTGAACTGTGATCTGTGTTGAAAAATCTGTTAAGTTACTAAATTAACAGTCAAGTTAATAAATAATTATATTGCTTGATTACTAATAAATCTGACATATTTACTTATTGAATATAATAATTAAAATAAGAGAAACAATAATCTTTATACTTAGCTTTTTACTCAACTATTTAAAAAATACAATTGAGCATTCATCATGTTTTATCTGATGTTTTAAAAGAGACATGTTATTAAATCCTTCTTTTTCACATTTAAATTATTATGGTCTATAAAAAGTGAAATTGCAATGATTTGGTCTGAATTCCTCATATTGTAACTCCACAATCCCCTCTTTCACCCATTTTCTTAGGTGTGTCTCAGATCAACTCATTTTAATGCTGTTTCTTTAAATTCAAACGAGGCGCTTCACACACACACAGCTTCCAGAGTGGTTCATTCTGGAGGGGTTCACAACTATAAAGCCCTGCAGAAATGTTTTATTTTCAAATTAATTAAAAGATGCCAGGAACAGAAAACCTGTCCATCCAGCCTTACATGTTTTAGCCAGAGTCTGACACAAAGTCATGAGAATGAAGACAATGAAACTGTAGTTGGTTGAAAAAACGTCATAGAAAATAAAGAAAACTGAACAGGTTGAAAAATATGACTCACACAGAATATAAAGATATCTTTGCAGCAACAAGAGAGACTAGCTTAAACTTTTCTGCACTCCTAGAGATTCAACGTGTACATAACAGCTAAAATATTTGGTTTTGCATGATATGCCCCCTTTAATCAACTTTTTTTTAATTCCTGACATGAGCTCCATCTCCTGTTTTGACTGGTGGCTATATCTGATAATTAAACTAAAGAAGCACAAAGTGGTTACACCATTAGAGCGAGATTTGAACCTACCAAATGTGGAAGCAGCTGAGGATGGCGAAGAGGAGTCCCGAGAGAACAGACATGGGAACTGCAAACAGGACTGAGACTATCCTGTAAACCCAAACCCGGCACACCTCAAACAGGGCGTGGCTCCAGATCCACACTCTGTCTCCACTGCGAGCTGACACCGGCTCAGCTATCACATCCTCAAACATCACCTGGAGACACAAACTAATCAATGCATATATGTCCTGGAGGGGGCTGATGAATCACATTCACTGTGGTGCAATCGGTCACGCATGATAATGTGCTTTATTTACCTCCTAAACTGCAAAAATACATGCATGAAGTAAAGTTTGTTTGAGCTGTTGCATCTGAATGCTGTACCTTGAGGCAGTCGTTAATACCTCTGGGGTCTCGGGCTGTAATCAGAGGTTTGGTGTCACTGATTTCCACCAGTGTGGACGTATGAATGTTTTCCTCCTCGTCCATTGAGGGCTGGGCTTTCCACAGCGTCTGCGGTTCCTCCTCATTCTCAGATTCTTCTGGGTCACTGGAGTCCCCCAAATCAATCTCCACCTCATCAGACTCTTCCCCTTTCCTCATGGAGTCCATTGGAACAGGTGAGGTAAAGAAAATAGAAGAAAAAGAGAAAACAGGAGCAGCAGCGGCACACACCGAGGCCTTTGACCGGACTTCTCCAGCTGGCTGAGCACTGAGGTTATATTAGGAACGTTACAGTGCCCTGCGTGGTATTTGCAGATGGTGCCTCCAGTGAAGATCATTTTTCTGGGCTGTGAAGGACAGAAGGGGAAGGGGAAGACAAAAATACTTTAAACACGATCAGGGCTCTGTTTACACAAATTTGCTGTTGTGGAAATGGAATCATGGAGACACATACAAAACACAGTTGTAAACATCAGCAGAAATCAAATTCACTTTTTTTTTCTTTTTTCTTTACTAAAATAAGTAACTTTGTGTCTATGTTTATTACAAGATGAGTGCTTGAAGTGCGGGAAAACACTGCCCCCATCTGGTATCAGAAGGAAGGAAACCCCACAGCTCCTCTAGATTTGTAGAACACCAGACCTTCTATGGCTGAAATTTTTACATTCAGAATGAACAAGAGGAGCAGATTTGAGCAAATCTTGCAAATGCAAAGATGTAAAAATTTGTAAAAGGTTTTTCTCTGCTTAAATTTTAAACTTTGGATTTTTAGGAAACAATGTTTATGACTTCTTTTTTTTTCACTTATTTTTTATTTGAATAGTTCCTGTGGAAACAATTATTTTCTCTCTAATGGGGATATTATATTATTCCTTAGAAACTAGATTGTTTACATAAAATAGTTATCAAGCATCTGCTGACAACAGTGAGGAACATCTGATCATGTTAACCAGCAGCTGTGGAGGGAAGCAGTTCTAGGGGGAACAGGGGTATCCTCCGCCAGAAAACTTAGTATTTTCTCAAAACGCCGCATTTACCAACCATTTGAAGAGCATTTTATTAATTTCTTGGGATTAATAAAACAACAAAAATTCTGTATTTTATGAAGGTAGGACACTGAAAACTAGACTTAGATCACAGGTGAAACATTCACTATCTTTATTTTTGTTTTCTTTTTACACACTGAGCACCAGCCTTGACTGCATCATATGGTACTCTTATCATGAAATATCCTGTGCACCATAAAACCTCTTGTAGTAATAAAGCAGGCTGAGAAACCCACAGAACAAGTTACCTGCACAAACTGAATAACCAGTTCCACAGATTAAATCAACTGTACTCTGAAAAATGTGTTTTTGTCTACCATTTGTGGCGACCCCTGGATGGCACCCTTAACATTTGCCTACACTGCCTGCTCCACAGGCCATCCTGTTTTTTAGGTGAATGTGAAAATGGGTGTAAGTCTTGTGTTTTTAGTAATATATTACTCCTACGTGCCTGCAGAAGTTTTCTTGATCAGTTGTTAACTGTTGCTGAACATTGGAAAACTTTCAATTGTTGAACACGTGCGCACAATTGCAAGCTGAAAAAAAAAGGTGCAATCAAGTGTTAAATGGGTTATACAAACAGTAAAGATTTCATTGTTGTTGTCCTTTCCCTGCAGCGTACAGGACATTGCTGAAGTGGCCTCAAAAACATCTTCATCGAGTCGACCTTTGGACCCAATCAGTCATCCTCATTGCTGTTAAAGGTCAGCAAAGTTTCCACAGAACTGGACCAAACCAGATCACTCACCCCACTTTCATTTTGTGCAAAATTCACATCCATTAGAAAAAAAGTAACCAAGTTCAGCAAATGACTACTGTATGTTTAACTCTTTTAAAAGAAAATGTTTCTCGCAAAAATTGTTCTTACATTGTGCACTAACTGCATTTGAGAATTTATGTTCACGTCCGAACTTTTTGCACTACAAAACAAGAAAATAAGAAGCAAATTAGATGATTTTTGGTTAAAAATATTGAACAATGCATATATTAGCTGTACAAGAGTAAATAATGGGCTCTTTACTCTGCAATGACCACTGAACTGTCTCCATGGTGAGGATCATTTCTGCCTGAGCTAGGACACGGTGTATTGATGACAGAATTTCCTGCGTGCATGCAGGAGACGATGGCATGCTAATGGATTACACCTCACCAGATGGAGCTTGTTTGTTTCCGGCTGCAAAGGTGAGGTCAGCAGACTGAGTGTGCGTCGTTGAGAACTCAGTAAAGCTTTCTTACTTTAATGATTTCATCAAGAAGGAAACTTTGTTATTCTGCCAAAATTCTGATATTTTATGAAATTAGTGTTTTTTTAAACACAGGTTTTAATTTAAAAAATAATCAAAGAAGAAAATAAAACCTTTGCAAGTAATTTTATGTTCATTTCATCCACTTTCACACCAGCTAAAGCTGAGACTTCCTGCTGCCAACGAGAGCAGCAGCAGCTTATGTGGGACATGTCAGACAGTGTTCCTGCTCAGCACCTGTCAGTCCAGATGTTTTCAGAGCAATAGATCAGACTGAGTGTTCATCATATCATTTATTTAAAATAGTCTATTTTCACAGTTCTGTTCCCATTGCTATAAAAAATAGTTACTGCAAGAATTAGATGAGTTTAATCATGTTGGCACAAGTTATTAAAATAAAAGTCTGCTAATTTTTGAAAACCCATTTAGATCTGGTTGACAGACAAGATTTGAGGCAGTATGTCTCATTGTTTGACATCAAGCTGAATTATTCCTGTTAGTGAAGCCATTTCTGAGTCTCTCTAAGCATCTCATTGTTTTGACGTGCTGAAGTGGGAAAATTAGTTGATTAAAAACTCCGGAGGAACAACCGTCTTCTGTCACTCATTTTTATTTGAAAAGTTTCGCAAAGGTTCAACAAAAAGATAAAGGCACACAAAACTTTAAAGGGATTGCTCATGTCTTTTGAAGTGGGGATCTGTGGAACGGTGATGAAGAATTTTTGTCTTGTAGAAAGTACTTTAAATCTGATTTTCAGAACGAACAAGCCTAAGAGCTGGACCACGTGAAGCCAAGACCAAAGTGAACTGTTGGCATCTTAAAACAACTTTGATTTTTCTGGGTGTGCGTTATTAGTTAAAGGGAATAACAGTAGCAGCTAGTTGTAGCACTTCTGGTGCAGCAGGAATGTGTAAATATTTCTGGTGGAATGACTGAATTTGGATGAACTAGTGAAAAACTGGAGCTGTTTTGGTCGTGGCTCGGCTGTCTGTAGTTGTTAAACATCCCAACGCACACGTTGATCCGGAGTGCTGATGTGTAATCACTTTGTTGGCTCTGAGTGCACCGGACATGAGGAGATGCTGCAGGAGTTCTGATAAGATGCCTGAGTGACTGTTGTGTTAAATGTGCACAATAATCAGCAGCGTAAGATCTGAYAAGATGTTGTGATTCACTCCTTCAAACACTGTTCACACTCTTCTTCCCTTTGAATCTTTGGAAATGACTGCCTCATCATTACTCTAGTGCAACATTCATTTTTCACACACACCACAAAGCAGCTCATTGAATTTAAATGAAAGAATTGGAAGAAGAAAAAAAATGACTCGGGAATTTGGTGATGCATTTGCTGGAGTTCTGTTGTAAAGTGAACCTTTGCAGTGGGGTGCAAAAGTTTGAGCGCCCTTGTTAATTGTCCTGATTTACCTTTATAAATCATTGATTGTTTGGATTAAAAATATCAGTTAAATATATAGGGGACAAGCACAGTGATATTTGAGAAGTAAAATTAAGTTTATGTGAGTTACAGAAAGTGTGCAATAATTGGTTKCACAAAATTAGGCAGGTGCATAAATTGGGGGCACTGTTATTTTATTGATTTCAAAACCTTTAGAACTAATTATTGGAACTCAAATTTGGTTTGGTAAGTTCAGTGACCCTTGACCTCCACACACAGGTGACTCCAATTATGAGAAAGTATATTTAAGGGAGGCAAATGTAAGTTTTTCTCCTCTTTGCGTCTTCTCTGAAGAGTGGCAGCATGGGAGTCTGAAAACAACTTTCAAATGAGCTGAAAACAAAGATTGTTCACCGTCATGGTTTAGGGGAAGGATACAGAAAGCTATCTCAGAGATTTCAGCTTTCAGTCTCCACTGTGAGAAACATTGTGAGCAAATGGAAGACCACAGGCACAGTTCAAGTCAAGGATCAAAGTGGCAGATCAAGTAAAATCTGGAATAAACAGAAGTGAAGGATGTTGAGAACAGTCAGAGTCAACCCACAGACCAGCACCAAACACCTACAATATCATCTTGCTGCTGATGGAGTCACTGTGCATCGTTCAACTATTCAGCACACTTTACACAAGAAGATGCTGTATGGGAGAGTGATGCAGAGGAAGCCTTTTCCCCGCCCACATCACAAACAGAGCTACTTGAGGTATGCTAAAGCACATTTGGACAAGCCAGCTTCATTTTGGAATAAGGTGCTGTGGACTGATGAAACTAAAATAGAGTTATTTGGGCAGAACAAGRATTGTCTTTTCATGATCAAAGCTGGTTGTTCTCAAAATATTTCATTTTCTCATCTGACAAAAGCAACTATTCTACAACTTTAGAAAATACATTCTAAAATATTTTTTTTGTTTAGCAATGTTTTATTATTATTATCATTTACCTCTCACATATGAGATCCAGCTCTGTGCTGCTTATAGTCCTATGTGAACAAATACTCCCATCCCTGCAGAAGAGCTGACCAACTCTGTCAGGATTATCTTTGCACTTTTGGCTGCTTCTCTGATTAACACCCTCCTCACCCGTTCYATGAGTTTGGAAAGATGAACCTCTCTTGGCAGGTTTACAGTGGTTTCTAATAATGAATTTAATGGTGCTCCATGGGATGTTCAGGATTAGGAATGTTTTCATGATCTGTACTTTGTTTCTGACCCATATGGAGTTTCTTGTTGCTGCCGCTTGCTTGGTGGTGGCCCTCACTACTTAAAGGTGTTGCACTGGTGTTAATTGGCTACCAGAACCAATGTACACCCTCTGACACTTAGATCACACATAGACAAATCTTATTTGTTTAATTATTGTGGCTTCAAATGCTAATCATTTCTGTATAAACAAAATTAAAGCAGTGTTCACTGCATGTGGCTGTGAGACAGATGGAAATATCTCTCAGTGGAGTTGGAAACAAACTTCCAGTTAAGTATAGGATTATAAACACTTTCTTGGGTTATTGTGTTGTCCTACTTGTTCTTTCATTGTATTTGCACTGATAACGGCACACTGCTGCCCGGCTGACAGAGCTGCTCAGGTAGCTGCTCTGCAGCACTTACCTGAATCTGTTTGCAACTGCACACCGTAAAACAGCACAATGTTATCATCCGGAGGACAATAAACCAGGCTGTAGTTACTGTTTGTATAAGTTTATTCATGGTGATTTTTTTCTTTTCTCCCCTTTAGATGTCCTTTCGATACATAACATAAATAGTCATTCCTGCACTAACAACACATTATAGCTGTGGTTAYTTTTATGTGATTCAGTGTAAATAGATTTTCACAGATTTTTTGATTATATCTCTGGGTGTTTGTGCAGATTAAGTGTTTTTCATTTGTCAGCTTTTTATCTGCATCACATGGTGTTATCCTTTAATCTGTGAAAGTGGCACATTCTCTCAGAACATCCACCAAAGAGGCTTTAAGACTTCAATGTATCATCAAACAAAGTATTTAATTAATATTTAATCTATTTAACTGATAAAACAATCATTTGTTTCATTAATTTCTAATATAAACATATCTTATATGATGCAGCTGTAAATAAAAACTTACAGCTGTTGAATCCTACACATAAGAATTGCTTCATCTGTTATGAAATGGCATTTTCTCCTTACATAATCCCATGTTWACTGGACTCAGTCTTAATCACAAGCTTTTTAGAAGTAGACTTATGAAGGTTAGGACCCAGACTGTCAGCTGGTCTGCTAAAAGGCTGTTTGTGCTCGTTAGTCTCACCTTTATATTCTGAGTCTTGTCTTCACTTCCCTGTCTGATCATTGTGCTGTTCACAGCCTGTATGTTTGTTGCCTTTTCATGCCTCGTCTCTGTCCATGTTTTCTTTTGTATTTTTGCTGCCACGCTAGCCTTTTTGTTTCATTAAATCAGTTTTGTTCTGCATTCAAGTCCTSGTGTCTGCCTGCATTTTGGGTTCCACACCCATCATAACAGATGTAAATAGTTTAATGAAATTAAACTACACCTGAAAACCAAAAGAAGGTGTTAAGCTGAAAAAAGAACACAAAGATGAATAATAACAAAATTCATCTCTTGATGGTTCATGTGTGATTCATGGTCTAATTGCAAAAAAGATTTTTTTTAGTTTATTGAAGCCAGAAGGAAACAAATGGGGGGGAAATGACCAAAAGTTTTAAGAAGTAGAGTTGATGATTACATTAATTTAACAGATAATTACAAACCAGTTGTTAAAAAGGAAGAGGATTGTTGACATTATTATTTATTCTTGAAAAAAAAAGATTTTCAACAGTTCTAAGTCAAAGTATAAGTAGTTTTTGTTATAGTTTATAAGTAAAACTGTACAAGTAACAATGTGATACACGTACTTGTCGAATTTTAAAAATTATATTTATTGATGGTATAAAAAGAAGAAAAATAACCACACAAATAAAATAAAAATGAACATTTTGGAGGTCTGAAAGCATTTTTAGACCAAACACAAAGACCTCCACATAAACAAAATATGTATAATGTTCTCTGTATTTGTTTCATCCAATTTTAAGATCTAACTAAACTCTTCCGGGACCTGACCTGGTATCCTGAAACCAGTCCGTCCAGTTTGATCCAGAGTACCTCTTGGACTGGGTGTGGCACAGCTGGCGCATGTCTCTAACATGCAGCTGGTCCTGTGGAGGAACTGCAGGAAGTTCTCATGGCCTGAGCCCTCGTGGCTGGAAGCAGCCAGCTCCAGCGGGCGGGCTGAGTAGCAGCGCCGCAGCTTCAGGAGCTCCTCCCTGATCTGTCTGTTGAGGAGCCCGTAGAAGAAAGGATTCATCGCAAAGGAGGAGTAAGCCAGCCAGGTGACGGCTTCCTCCAAGTCATTGGGGATGTGAGGTGTGGCATCTAGTATCAGATGGAGGTGGAAGGCGAAGTAAGGCAGCCAGCAGATTAGAAACTGGCCAACGACGACCGCCAGAGTGAGAGCAGCTTTACTGCCACCGAAAAGAAGGTCACGGGTGACCCTGCGAGGAGTGCTGTGGCTTGTGATGATGGTAATCTGGCTGTTTATGGAGTCAGAGCGATGCTTCGGCTGGTTGGTCGTCCACGATGGCAGAGGCGCGTGCTGCCGGGCTGCATCTCGAGCCACCTTGTACACGTTACAGTAGACCGCCAAAATCACAACAGCCGGAAAACAAAAACAAGTGACGCTGAAGAGCACGGAGAAGATCCGCCTGTGCTTGCAGTGGCTCCAGTGAAGGGAGCAGTGTGAAGCCCTGATGGTGCTCAGGCTGCTGTGGGAGGGCCAACCAAAAACTGTGGAAAAGCCCAGAACGAACGAGGCCACCCACACCATCACCATCACAGCCGCAGTCAGCTTCAGAGTCATCTTCACCTCATAGCGCATGGGGTGGACAATGTAGTAGTAACGCTCCACGCTTATGGCTGTGACCGTGAAGATGGAAGCAGCAACGAGGCTCACGTTGAGGAAAACGTACACCCGGCACCCCAACGTGGTGAACACCACCCGAGCAAAGTAGGGAGAGCTGGACACGATGCCGAGAGGCATGAGCAAGGTGGCACACAGCAGGTCCACGACGCACAGGTGGCACACGAAGGCAAACTTCCTGAGATGAGGAGCCTTGATGACGACCACCATGACAGCAGTGTTGGCCAGGAGTGCCAGAACGTTCAGGGTCACCATGAAAAACATGCCTATCAGGTCTTTGAGGCGGGTTTGCAGGTCAGGAAGGGTGCCCAGTTGTCTGTGGGGTGCGAAGGGCATCGTTGCCCAAGCAGAGTTGCTGCTATTGTGCTCCTCCATTATTCATAATAAAGGTTGCAAAGAACAAACCTGTGTGCCACTCCACTCCATTATGCAGGGATTAATCCAAAACATAAAAACTCTTCATTTCTGTAAAGAGAAGGGAAAGACCATTACAAACAAATATTTGTGTTAAACTGCTTTACTGTAGGACTATTTTTTTTGTTCATTTGAGATCAGTGAAAACTAATTCTGAACGCATCAAATACTAATCTTTAAGTTGATAAGGCTAAAGATGAGATGTTTTTGCATAATCGACAGCTGAGGAGAGTTAAAATCTATTTTTGAAGGGTCATTTGTTTTCATCTCAACAATAGTTTTGTTCTCATCATCATCACATTACTTTGATAATAGCCTTTCCACAGAGCCTCACTGCAATAGATCTGAACTGTCTCCTTAATATAAAAACAAAACTGACTCATTCAAAGATTATTTTGTATTGAGAAAACTGAAAAATAAATATTTGGTTTTTAGAAGAGCAAAGGGAAGTCTGTACAAAAATTTGTGCTGGAAATTAAAAAAAAAGTTACATTTTACAGTTTCAGTTTGCAACGTTTCTTTTGTTGGTGTCAGACTCCATGACTACTATGACATCACAATGATATTGTGAGCCCCACAAACAGAGCCACAGAAGAAATAAATCTGTGCTGTTAATATTTTCATATTGGGGCTTCTCTGATTTTCACATCATTTAATTCAATTCAAATCAATTTTAAAATATTTTTTAACCCCAAAGGGAAATTAACTTCTGATGGATATATATATATATATATATATCCATCAGAAGTTAATTTCCCTTTGGGGTTAAAAAATATTTTAAAATTGATTTGAATTGAATTAAATGATGTGAAAATCAGAGAAGCCCCAATATGAAAATATTAACAGCACAGATTTATTTCTTCTGTGGCTCTGTTTGTGGGGCTCACAATATCATTGTGATGTCATAGTAGTCATGGAGTCTGACACCAACAAAAGAAACGTTGCAAACTGAAACTGTAAAATGTAACTTTTTTTTTAATTTCCAGCACAAATTTTTGTACAGACTTCCCTTTGCTCTTCTAAAAACCAAATATTTATTTTTCAGTTTTCTCAATACAAAATAATCTTTGAATGAGTCAGTTTTGTTTTTATATTAAGGAGACAGTTCAGATCTATTGCAGTGAGGCTCTGTGGAAAGGCTATTATCAAAGTAATGTGATGATGATGAGAACAAAACTATTGTTGAGATGAAAACAAATGACCCTTCAAAAATAGATTTTAACTCTCCTCAGCTGTCGATTATGCAAAAACATCTCATCTTTAGCCTTATCAACTTAAAGATTAGTATTTGATGCGTTCAGAATTAGTTTTCACTGATCTCAAATGAACAAAAAAAATAGTCCTACAGTAAAGCAGTTTAACACAAATATTTGTTTGTAATGGTCTTTCCCTTCTCTTTACAGAAATGAAGAGTTTTTATGTTTTGGATTAATCCCTGCATAATGGAGTGGAGTGGCACACAGGTTTGTTCTTTGCAACCTTTATTATGAATAATGGAGGAGCACAATAGCAGCAACTCTGCTTGGGCAACGATGCCCTTCGCACCCCACAGACAACTGGGCACCCTTCCTGACCTGCAAACCCGCCTCAAAGACCTGATAGGCATGTTTTTCATGGTGACCCTGAACGTTCTGGCACTCCTGGCCAACACTGCTGTCATGGTGGTCGTCATCAAGGCTCCTCATCTCAGGAAGTTTGCCTTCGTGTGCCACCTGTGCGTCGTGGACCTGCTGTGTGCCACCTTGCTCATGCCTCTCGGCATCGTGTCCAGCTCTCCCTACTTTGCTCGGGTGGTGTTCACCACGTTGGGGTGCCGGGTGTACGTTTTCCTCAACGTGAGCCTCGTTGCTGCTTCCATCTTCACGGTCACAGCCATAAGCGTGGAGCGTTACTACTACATTGTCCACCCCATGCGCTATGAGGTGAAGATGACTCTGAAGCTGACTGCGGCTGTGATGGTGATGGTGTGGGTGGCCTCGTTCGTTCTGGGCTTTTCCACAGTTTTTGGTTGGCCCTCCCACAGCAGCCTGAGCACCATCAGGGCTTCACACTGCTCCCTTCACTGGAGCCACTGCAAGCACAGGCGGATCTTCTCCGTGCTCTTCAGCGTCACTTGTTTTTGTTTTCCGGCTGTTGTGATTTTGGCGGTCTACTGTAACGTGTACAAGGTGGCTCGAGATGCAGCCCGGCAGCACGCGCCTCTGCCATCGTGGACGACCAACCAGCCGAAGCATCGCTCTGACTCCATAAACAGCCAGATTACCATCATCACAAGCCACAGCACTCCTCGCAGGGTCACCCGTGACCTTCTTTTCGGTGGCAGTAAAGCTGCTCTCACTCTGGCGGTCGTCGTTGGCCAGTTTCTAATCTGCTGGCTGCCTTACTTCGCCTTCCACCTCCATCTGATACTAGATGCCACACCTCACATCCCCAATGACTTGGAGGAAGCCGTCACCTGGCTGGCTTACTCCTCCTTTGCGATGAATCCTTTCTTCTACGGGCTCCTCAACAGACAGATCAGGGAGGAGCTCCTGAAGCTGCGGCGCTGCTACTCAGCCCGCCCGCTGGAGCTGGCTGCTTCCAGCCACGAGGGCTCAGGCCATGAGAACTTCCTGCAGTTCCTCCACAGGACCAGCTGCATGTTAGAGACATGCGCCAGCTGTGCCACACCCAGTCCAAGAGGTACTCTGGATCAAACTGGACGGACTGGTTTCAGGATACCAGGTCAGGTCCCGGAAGAGTTTAGTTAGATCTTAAAATTGGATGAAACAAATACAGAGAACATTATACATATTTTGTTTATGTGGAGGTCTTTGTGTTTGGTCTAAAAATGCTTTCAGACCTCCAAAATGTTCATTTTTATTTTATTTGTGTGGTTATTTTTCTTCTTTTTATACCATCAATAAATATAATTTTTAAAATTCGACAAGTACGTGTATCACATTGTTACTTGTACAGTTTTACTTATAAACTATAACAAAAACTACTTATACTTTGACTTAGAACTGTTGAAAATCTTTTTTTTTCAAGAATAAATAATAATGTCAACAATCCTCTTCCTTTTTAACAACTGGTTTGTAATTATCTGTTAAATTAATGTAATCATCAACTCTACTTCTTAAAACTTTTGGTCATTTCCCCCCCATTTGTTTCCTTCTGGCTTCAATAAACTAAAAAAAATCTTTTTTGCAATTAGACCATGAATCACACATGAACCATCAAGAGATGAATTTTGTTATTATTCATCTTTGTGTTCTTTTTTCAGCTTAACACCTTCTTTTGGTTTTCAGGTGTAGTTTAATTTCATTAAACTATTTACATCTGTTATGATGGGTGTGGAACCCAAAATGCAGGCAGACAC